GTCTTTAGGAGGCGGAGCGACTTCTTAATTCTGAGATCTTTAGGGGACGGTTGTTTGTCTGTCCTCACATCAGTTATGATGGGATGTTGGATTTAATTATTTACAGAATTGCACATCGGTTGAACTGTTTGTTTCTAATGTTTTCCAGAATTCGCTGCCGGAGCTGGACAACCCGCTGTCGAAGAAGGTGCGCCTCATCGTCAACGATCTTCTTGAGAAGAGGCCGAACTCCATGAAGGTAAATCCAACACAGAACACTGATACAACTTTTTAGCAGTTTTTTTCACGTATTTGTTTTCTATCTTAAACTTGCACAAAATGTTATTGAACGAAATAGAGGTAAATAAATAAATAGTAAAGATGGAGTTTAACTGCCCTCTAGTGGAAATGGGAAGAAACAGACTTAAAACTAAAAACTACTGTTTTTATTCAACTTGTTGCAGAATAAACCTCGACTCAGCTCAGAGATGTTACAGAAACGGATTTTAAATCAGTTTGGAGCTGACGATGAAACATTTTCACGTTTTACTTTTGAACTTGGAAGCCTTCTGGGTAGTCCCAGATGTTTGTAACCAGATCAGTTTAATCAAGAAGCTAATTGTTAATTTTACACGCAGTTGGTAGTTTTTAATGTTTAATAAGATTTTACCAACAATGAGTGGTTATGAACTTAAAAAAAACCCGTGATTTTGTTTTCAAGATGTTTGAGAACGCGTCGCGTTAACTTTTTTCTGCTCCGTTTAGCTGCAGATCGTGAGGCAGAGAGACAAACCGGAGGTGCTGTTCCGTCAGCTGCTGGTGGAGGATAAAGGTTTGCACGGCGGAGCGTCCTACGTGGACTTCCTCTGCTACGTTCACAGAGAGATCAGGCAGCTGCTCACCTAACCCGACCTGAGGGACTTCGTCTCTGTAAGACTTTAATAGTTCAGGTGATCCACACAAAGGTCCAAAGCCATCCAAACAGAAACAGTTGGGAATCCAACAGCTTTAATCTTTCAATATTTATCACTCAGGAGGGCTGAGTAAATGTGGAGCGTTGACTTGGACAACACGCAGTGAGATGAACGGACCGGAACCACCTCAGCTCTTAAGGCTGAAACCGTCGTGGCATTAGGCCCACCGGCAGGAGCAATACTTCCACTGCGCAATCACTTCCTTACAGAGTTTATTTCCATTTCATCTGATACGTTTAGAAAAGACCAAAGCTGTTTTGGGGGCTACATCTTTACTTCATGCTCTCCTGAGGAGACGGGGTGTGAGAGTCTCTGTAAATATTATTTGCTGTCTAACTGAAGTGCGTTGGATAAAAACATGAAAATGTAAGAATGAGCCAGACGACTGAAAGTTTGTCCTGTTATTACACCACGTCAGATTCACACCCGACCCCCCCACTGAAGTCGCATTCTTTGACCATTTATGGCCGAGTTCTCTCCTCGCTCCGTGCAGCGATGCAGAAAGCGTTTTGTTTTGGCGTTCTGAGCGTATAATGAAGCAAGCTCAGCTGTCGCTGCGACCGGACAGACTGCAGCAAACAAGGACGAGAGGAGAAACACAAAATGTTTTTCTTCAGTCCTCGAGACGGAGTTGATGGAGAAAACTTTGAGCAAGATGAATGACTGCAGTGTTGAAAGGCTTTTAGCATTCTGTTCCAGCCTGAGTCATTCATTTTACAAGTTTACAGAAATTTGCACACACTCATAGGAAAGGAAAAAAAAAACATTGCCAAAGTCGTAGTAAAATAACACAAGTTGGACCTTACAGAATACTGCGATAAATCCAAATCCTCTGTGCTGTCGTTTAGTAGTGAGAATCCACCAATTGATACATGTAACTTAAAATGTGATTAGTTCCCAACACTGGTCCTTGAGGAACACCATCCTGCATGTTTTAGTTGTTTCCTTGCTCCAACACACTTGATTCAGTGATTTTATTACTTCAAGTTCTGCCAAAGCAGGGTAACGACTAAAACATGCAGGATGGCGTTCCTCAGGGACCATGGTTGGGAACCATTGCCTTTGTGTTACTGATTACTGCAAAGAAAAAGAAAATAATTTTGGATATATCGTGCAACTCCAAGTCAGTCTCTGTTTAGACAGAATACTTTTTAAACAATACTAACTCTGGCCAATATTAGAATAAACATGACTGTGATAATAAATATCACGATGATATTCACGTCACTCTGTGTGTGGGCGTCAAGAGCACCGAGTGTTTACTGACTGCAACATCCAAACTGAAAAATAACTTGTGATGCTGATGCTGCGCAGAATATCGCAATAACTTTGATATATCACGCAGCTCCAATGATTGTTTTATCAGCTCACCTTCAGTGAATAGGAAGTTTACTTTTACCCAACAAGAGTCATCAATCTTGTTTAATTACTTAACATTCCCGTACTGTACAGTAAAATACTATCACATTTCTTGTTTTTATAAGTAATTCTTGACATAATTCATTATATTCCTCTGATAAATCTGTCATAAGTGCGTCCATTACATTTATTTGTATAATAAAAGTGCAATTTTTGTTCTTTAAACATCACCACCTGCCTTATGTGTTAATGACTGAGATGTTTTAGTCAAGAGGACGTGAGGTCGATGCGTTTGGTTTGTTTCAGACTTATCTCAGGTGATTGGAGTCGAACTGAAAAGGCTCCTTGTGGAGCAGTCTTAATGTTTCTGTGTACATTTCATCTCCAAATGTAAACAAGCTTTTGGTAATTAAAACTTTGGACTGTCGCTGCTGTTTATGGTTTGTTTGCAAACGCTTTTAAACAAATAGAAATGTCAATTTTAACTAAAATAAGTTGAAACTGGATGTTTGGGTACCTGTGTGTAATGTCGTGTCGCCACCACAAGGGGGCATGACTTGATAGTTCTACTTGGAGCAGCTCTCAACTGCTTCAGCATTTATTAATCTCAAAATAATCACAAATGGGGAATTAGTTTCTAAAACTGTCTTTTAAGATAGTCTGTAAGTGGATGTTTTAGTTTTTTTTTACCCAGAAATTGAACCTATTTTGGAAATTTAACTTGAAACTTAAAACATTTTGAAATTAAAATGGCCAAAAATATACAAATACACCCAGGAAAAGTCTGGTTTTCTTTACTAAAATCAAACGTTCTGTGAGTGTGACTCCCAACATGTGAGCACTTTAATAAATAACATGTTAAATCCTTCAAAATATTCATAAATCTATAAATCCCTCACATTCCTGGGTAGTTTGAATCTTCCCGTTTCTAACATCCATGTTACTGCGAGTAAAAATAACAAACAGAAAATGTCATGAAAACACTCCGTAACATAATGTCCAGACCTGTCTCTATAACTGACTTTAACACAGCATACCCCCCCCCCCCCCACCACACCCATTCATTGCCAATCAGTGGTTTAATCTGGAGTTAATCAGGCTGATAAGTGTAAACAATAAAAGGATCAGTTCAGTCGACAACCTAAAGTAATGAATATAATACAAAGTTTATCGTTACAGAAACAAACCTAAAGACCTGGAATTAACCCAAGAGCAAACTCTTTTAATACTGTACAACTCAATGACCTCAACTCTGCTCTCAGTAAAAACTCCTCCACAGGGCTAATAAATAAAAATAACATGATTGTTTACTTTACAGGAAATGTACATACATAAATAAAAATACACTAAAAGCAGCTTTCTCTCGCTCTTTTTTTTTTTTACCAAGTCCTTTTCGTTGAACATCATACTCTAACACCAGTGTGCTTAAAACTACGGAACCCGCCAAGTGCCACGGAGCAAAATAAAAATAAAGGTTACAATTAAAAAAAAAAACAGTTTGAGAAATCGTGTGCACACATTTGCTTCAGTGAAGTTGGACAATACCTTAAATCTAAATAAACCTATTTGTTTTAACGCTGCAAACGTCAAAGCCAATAAAGTAGTCCTTCCACGTTTTTTTAACGATTGTCAACTTTAATAATACTCGTGTGATTGGGACGGTATGGGATAAAGAGTTAACAAAAAATAAATGCTTTGGACAGGCGCCGCCATTTTGTAGTTTTCTTTTAATAAGCCTACACTGTTTTGCCAGTCAAAAGCACTACACTACCCAGAAGCCAACAGTGCTTCCGGCCACTGCTTTGTGCTGAAATGGGAGGGAAAGTTTTGCAACGCAAATCTGCGCTATTAAGTTCACAGAACTGGCAGGAAGGTTGCAAATAACCCTGAAGCTCAATTCTCCACGTGCAAATCAACCTGGACGGTGAGCTTCATCACAAAATATATGTATGTTGTTAAAATGACATACTGTAGGTTTAAGAGTTTAGAACATTGCAAGAGTGTGGGAAGGGTTTATTAAGCCTTAAAATATATATGAATACTAAAATATAGCGTTCCTACTTCACTTTTCCACCTTTCACGGGGGTGTCTGGAATGTAACCCCCACGATAATGAAGGGACTACTGTACTTTTCATGTCACTAAAGAAACCAACAGTTTGAACAAAAATTCTGAAACACTGCTAGTAGGTGTGGAGGATGATCACGTTTTGGGTTTAGTGGACAGGGCTCAAGACTAAAACATGAATTTAATTCAATTAGGTGACGCTCCGGTCATTGCTAGTGATATTACTGAGCATTAAATACAGCCACATAAAGTACTGCAACTTAAAGATGGCTTCTAAACACTTGTTTGTTTTCCGTTTAGATCTACTCCCTCAGCTTCCGACTAGAAAACAAAGCTCAACGCGTCAGCCGGTGTGCATGAACTCAAATGTTTTTGCAAACCCATACCCACAGTTCATTAAAGGAACACATTTAATGGCCTCCATTGTTACATTGCGCTCCCTGGCCCATGGCGAGCTCCGTACGAGACAAACCGTTGATTATGGTCCAATTTTGACATCAGTACAATTCTTGTGTTGTCTAACTGGCAAATAAACGTGAACAAAGTCTGAAAAGTTTAAATTTAACTCTTACCTAATGTTTTATCTTTAATATATACAGCTCAGAATGGTACATGTTTTTCTTTTCATCTTAGTCTTTCATATAAAAGCAGAATCCTAAATCCCACTCGGTCAGTAGGAACACTCTGGAATCTTTAAACTGGTCCATGTGACACTAAATCAGATCTTGTGTTTAATAGTTCGATGCTCTGAGAAGTCAGTGATTTCACTTGGCGGAAAATAAAACTATATTTAAAACCATAAACTTGTAGTGAAAATCGATTTATACCCAAGAAAAGAGTTTCCCTCCTTTACTTTGAATCGTGTTCTCCAGTGTTTTGTCTCCAGCTGGCTGTTTGAAATAATCGGAGTAAAAAGCGGTTCATTCCAGAGTGTTCTCACCACGCAGCCTCCTAATTGTGGCCCACAGTAATGAACAACATTTTATCTATGGTCAAAAGTCTGCATAGCACACTGTACACAGTACGAGTCCAAGTCAGTAATTGGGCCATGCGAAAGATGATGTTCTCTTCCAAAAAAAGCTTCCACGGGCAGCCAGGAGTTAGAGAACATTTTCAAAGAGGTGCATTGATCGCATGATGTTTTCATCCTGAGGATACAAAGAGACAATGTCACGAAGAACGCTGAATTCAGGCCAACGGTAAGAAAAAGCAGATTTGTGAGAATCCAGCTTACATTTTGGCAACAGTCGATGAACTCGTCTATGGTTACCACTCCGTCTTTATTCTTATCCATCTTCTGTTGGTGACAAAGAAACCATGAAGGATTCCCACAGCTTTGCTTGAAAAATACGTCCGGAGAAGCACTTGCCTGAAAGAAGACTTCTACGTGCTGACGGGGCGTCTCCTCCTTCAGGACCGGGTACGTGCATTTACCCATCATGTCATAGATGGCCTTCATGATATCCAGCATTTCCTGTTGCACGTGAAAAAAAAAGACAGTTTGTGAAAAATGACCAGAAAATTTTAGGTTATTGGGGGTGGGGGTGGGGGGGATTTCTTAGACATTCACCATTGATGATTATAATCTAAGATACTTGCTAGTAAATGAAGCTCAGTCTAAAAGTTTTCAGTGTTTTTTTATACTCTGCTTTCAAGAAGCTAGAATTTGCCTTGAAGTACTTTTGATCAAGAGTTTTTCAGGCTTTGTGGAAGACTTTCAGTTTTATTTTGGTCTCTTTGGTTGCTTGTTTGTACTGAAAAGGATTAGAGCCATGGTGCAAAAAAAACCTCTCCCCCCCTCCCCCCACCTGAATTCTGACTTTAATCTCAACATTTTGAGATTAAAATCAGAATTCAGGAGAAAAAAAAATTACAGTGTCACTGATCCTCTTCTGTATACAGAAAGGATTAGAGCCACAATGATACTGTATTTTTTTCCTTAATTCTGAGATTAAAGTCACAATACCTCAATCTAATTTTGACTTTTTTTCAACACATACCAGTACGGTAATTCTGATTCAGGATTTAAAAATAATTTTTTTGTACAGTGGCCCTAATCCTCTTCCATATAGGTATGTTTTACTCATTCTCAGAAGTTTTTTTTATTTTAAGTGAAGGCATTTAACACTGACCTATGACACATTCAAGCATAAAAACACTATTAAACTCAAGAGATAAACCTGTGTTGTCTCAGTTTAAACAAAAAAGCACCAATGAACCAAACTTCAATCAGATTTTTAGCTAGCAGGTGAGTAACTAGCTAGATTTGTTATCGGCAGCCTGCCACAAAAACATTTGGAGTCAGTCTCCCCACCATCACAGACCTCTACACCTCCAGATGCAGGAAGAGGGCCACCTGCATCATGAAGGACTCCACTCACCCAGCACACACACTTTTTGTCCTGCTCCCCTCAGGAAGGAGGTTAAGGAGCATTAAGTGTAGAACCACTAGACTGAGGAACAGCTTCTACCCTGAGGCTGTTAGACTCATGAATCTCTAACCAGAATAATCACTGTGAAAAATCACATGTTGCTGCTGATCTGTTTCATGTTGCTGCTGATCTGTTTCATGTTGCTGCTGATCTGCTTCATGTTGCTGTGTTCATTCATGCTCATCTGCTCACACAGACTCATGTTCGTGCTGCTGTTTGACGTATTGTTTTTTTAATGCTATTAGTGCTTAGCATATTTTTAGCTGATATTTTCTTAGTTCATATTTTAGATCTTATTACTGTTTTTTTTATTTTTTTTTTTACATTTTATTGTTGGATGTAACTGGGACCCTGTGTAAACAATATGGTTCTACCACGTGTACCACATGTGGTGTAAATGACGAATAAAGAACATCTGAATCTCTGAATTTTGTCCTCACTTTCAGTTGACTTTATGAAAAGTGCCAAAAATGGCAATTTGACAAACTTTTCCACCAAGTTTACTTTTTCTTTAGTTAGTTACTACCTAAAGCACTAGATGGTCATTAACAAGGGCAGTGGTGGAATGTAACTAAGTACAAATACTTTGTTACTGTACTTAAGTACATTTTTCATGTATCTGTACTTTACTTAAGTAGAGTTAAATGTGGGCACTTTATACTTTTACTCCACTACATTTTACTTCAAGTATCTGTACTTTCTACTACACTACATTTCTATAACGCGTTGCATCACAAGTTACATTCATGTTGCGGCTTTTTGATGTTTGTTACTTTGAAAGTGACCAATGGTGAGAGGGGAGCTGGTCCATTGAATCACTGCAAAGTGGACAGGTAACGTTAGACCCGCCTTCAAGAAGAGCTGGGCCAATGACATATATTCTAGTATATATGTCACTGAGCTGGGTGCACCTGCAGCACCACTAACACACCCAAACTGGATTCCACCACAGAGAGTCAGCCAGAAGATATGCTCCACCCATGGCTTATTGACAGACTGTTCAGTACAGCAGGACAGATTCTCTCTCCCCATTAGAGCCAGACTGGACTCAAAAATCTTTGAAAACCAACTTCTTCTGAACTTGAACAAGAAATTCTTGCTGCAGAATTAAAATATGTCAGTTCATGATGTTAGGAGACAAGAGATGTCTCCAAATGGCTCAACACTCAGGTCCAAGTTTTAAAAATGGTGTCAGGAAGTTAAAATATTGTTCATTATTGACCCACTACAAGATTGAATAGACAGTATTTTAAATAGAGTTGATGACAAACTGGAGTTGAAATGATCAGTGACTGTTCCTTTGTTGTGTCTAATGCTCCTTTTGTTCAGGCAGACAACTTTTACTTAAATGTGTTTACTGCAGTTAAAATGACATTTTGATTAATGACATTTAACTCTGCAGGTCGTCCCTGAAATTCTGATTCACAGAATCACAAGTCCAAGTGTGAACTGTGTCACAGAGTAAACACAATAAAAACATGTATTATCTGCAGCATCCTTCATTAAAATGGCTCAACACTATTAATGTATTACAGAAAATGTACATAAGGTAGGTACATTTAATGATATTGTAGACCATTGCATTAAGTAATTTTTTTCATTTAGCCTTTATTTATCCAGGTTAGTCTCATTGAGCCACGAGAACTCATTTGCAAGAGAGACCTGTTTAGGGAGCACATGGTGGGGTTAAGGGCCTTGCTCATGGGGCCCAGAGTGGGGCGAATGAGGGTGGAGGCAAGTGTGGGTGTTTCACCTACCCCACCCACAATTTTGATGTTGTCGGGGCCGGGGCGTGAACCGGCGATCTTCGGATCACAAGCCCACCTCTCTAACCTCTGCGCCACCTCTCCCCAGTAGTAATACAAGTAAGTAATACATTCAGTATTTTAAAAGCAAGTACTCATTTACTTTTACTTAAGTAAAAATGTTAATGTGGTACTTCTACTTTTACTAGAGTACATTTTTTTTCTGTTTATTTGTACTTTTACTTAAGTACAGTGTTTGAGTACTTTCTCCACCACTGAACAAGGGCCTGTCAAAAACAATGCTTTTTTTTTTTCTTCCATTTTTGGGTACTATTTATTTTGAAAATCCCAAAATAACAGTTTAGCAAACACAAAATAGTATTTTAGCCCAACAAGGTGATTATAGTGGAAAGATGAGACACGTATCAGGTGGTGTCAGGTTCTTGTTCCTCTGACGTTCAGACACCGTTTGCATACTTTTGTCCTTCAATTGCCAACTTTCCTCTTTTATTATTTTAAAGCACCAACTGCTCAATCTGCTGCGTGGTAAAGCACAATAACGGGGCAGGAGTGGGTCAGATCAAAGTCCAAAGAAAAACTAAAGTCCTTCAGAAAGAGTTGCTGAACAAGGCCACTTTAAAACAAGATGGAAAACCTTGTTGGAAGCAAAATATAAGCGCGCTTTAAGACTTGAGTAGTGTAGCTCATTATAAAATCACCTTGATTAAGGGTTCTTCATTACACACAATGAAGAGCTGGTATTTTACTTATTTATAAAAAGTAATACTCTTGGACTGAAATCTCTCATCAGCCACTGAGTCAGTATCTCTGCAGATTTCTAAAAGCTGACTGAATTCCTGGTTGAATTCCAATCGTTTAATCTGGAGCCAGAACACAGTGAAGACGGGCCGAACACTTTCGTTTGTAACCAAACATTTCCAAACTTAATGTCGTCCCCTGAGCCTTCACTGTAGACGTCATTAGTACTTTATACTACTTTGTACAAAGAACCAGGTAAGTAACACATCTGAAAGTTGATCATAGCTGTTTAGTGCATGCAAAGTAGAACCCATACAGAACAGATGGATCAAAAAAAATATTCACTCGCATGAGAAATTTGCTTTTTTGTAACAAAAATAAGGCATTAATATGAACCAGTCTTTAAAAAGAGAAGGTTTAGTGAAAGTTACACAGCTCAAACGTTCTGCTGCCATATTTACAAAAAAAACCCTAATTCAGTGGAGAAAAGCGACCTTTTCTTAAACTAAAGCCTTCCATTACTGACAGTGATTAAGACATACGGCACCTCTTTAGTGATGTATCCATCTTTATTGATATCATAAAGGTTGAAGGCCCAGATGAGTTTCTCCTGCACCGTGCCTCGCAGGAGGATTGAAAGCCCCATAACAAAATCCTGCAACACACAAACACCGTTCATTTACGCTTGAACAACATCACACTGAAGAAAAACTCCACATCAGTAAACGCACAGTCAAAAAACCCATGAGATAAACAAAAACATCCTTTATGCGTCGGCCTTTCTGCAAGCAGACATTATGGTGGATATTAATTAGAGGCGAATGATGAAACGGCAGAAGTGGAGGCGTTATAAATCAAAAATACCTCATTATTCAAATGATTTGAAGGCTCATATTCTGAGTGGGCCCTCTGGGAATCCACATGTTTGTGAGCAGAGTGGACATTTAAACTCGGGGGGGGGGGGGGGGGGCTTTTGGAGGAATGACAGCTTCTCCGTCCTAATAAGCAAATATGTGTCCTTTATGAATATTAATAGAATGTTGCAAAACAACTTGGTTAAAAAGAGATTGGATCTGCATGTTTAGAGAATGTGTGTCAAACTCAAGGCCCGGGGGCCATATGTGGCCCTCGTTGACATCTTCTCTGGCCCACAAGATGATATGTGAAATTTAAAATACTTCTATCGCTTTCATTTTTTCAGTAATCTTTGATTATGATGTTGAAAACATCAAATGAGACCAATCAAACTCTTGTTGAGGAACCTGTAACCAAGAACAGATGTTGGGTTTCTGAGTTAGTGTGGTTTCTGAAATTGGCCCTTACTTTGAGAAATGTTTTAATTTAGGCCCCCTCTTGTAAGTGAGTTTGACACTCCTGCTTTAGAGGAATGTCTTGGTGAGTGCAGCACCAGTTTGGGGTTTTACTCTTGAAATTTCTGGAATTTCCAATCAACGTCCCCCTTTGTCGTTTTCCGTTCGTTATCTTTTTAGCACCAGGTAATCAAACGTACAGCAGGCTGCTATAGTACACCCCCTAGACATGTAGCTGCATCACAACATGGAGTTTAAAAAAGATTTTTCTAAGGCATGCTTCTGTTGATGTACAAACAGTAACATAGGGGACAAAGAAGACCACTGGGGGGATTGTACTCTTAGCATCATGGGAGGAGGCAAGTGTTGTCCTTGATGGCCCAAAGGTTTAGTTTCAGTTTCATCTGACCACAGCAAGGATAGATGGATAGAGAGGATAGATGGATGGATAGAGAGGATAGATGGATGGATAGAGAGGATAGATGGATGGATAGAGAGGATAGATGGATGGATAGAGAGGATAGATGGATGGATAGAGAGGATAGATGGAT